TTTTTTTTTTTTTTTTGTGGCTTGTGTTTCCTTTGAAGAAATTGAAGGTACATGTTGTTCTTGCATTTTCAGATTTTATTTAGTTATTGCGTTGCATACATGTCTATGGTGTGGTTAAGGTTGATAAATGCATGGCATAGGATATAGCATAGCATGAGATTGGTTGATGGTTGCTTGCAAATTACAATTATGAATTATGAATTCCATTATTAGCTAAGGGTCCATGGTTTGGTTATAATTCTTTTTCTTGATGCCATTTATAGCTCTAGAGAAGTCTAGTCTAAAAATTGAGGGTTGAGATTAGAGTTTTTATTAATCTCTAAGTTGGGAGTTTTTTTTCCCAAGAATTTCTATTGGGGTGGGGGTATTTAGTTGATTTTTGATTATTGACTAAATAGCAGCCTACATTTAGATCTTAATTAATAGTAGAAATTTTCTTTTGATGGTGATTTTGCAATTATTTGGTCTTAGCCTTTAATTGTTTAAATTATTTTGTAGATGCAACTCTCGAGAGTTAAAAACTTTTTTTTGAATGAGTCTAATTTTAATTTTTAAAATAGTTTTGGAATATTTGAGGCATTCTAGAATGAGTTTATGAGCATTTATTACGTATCAAGTTTGTCTCTTTTTATGAGTAAAGCTGGATTTCATATGGTATTTTGATATGTAAATAGAAATTCAGGGTGACTCAATTGAGATATAGCCAGACTTTAAATTTTGTTAGTTTTTAATCTATATCTTTTGCTTTGGTTCCTTTTTCTTTTAAATTTGTAAAATAGTCACTTCTTTATGCATTTGGTTTTGATGGGTTTACGGTAGCTATTTTATTAGTTGAATTTAGTATTTAATATTGTCCATGTATGTAAAATTTGAAGCCTTTCTAATTCTTTACTTAGTTTAAAACTGATTTGGATTGAGTTATAACTTATAAGTACCACCTTAAGTCAAAGTAATTCAAAAGAAGCATGCAAATTTCATTTTGAAACATGGAGTTTGGGATTGAGATTTCGGTGTTTTTTCTTTTTTCTCCTATTTTTGTATGGGGATAGGCATGTGATGCCCCAAATAAATAACTGATGTCCTACAAATGCCTATGGTCCTTAAGATGTTTGATTGTAGAGTAATTTGGTACTACAATTGCTTTGCACGGTTCTGATTCCATGTTGATTCATTTTTATTTTGGTTGATATTGTGAGGGAGTGGCTACTCAAAATTAGATTCTTGGTTAATTAGGGAATTTTCACTTGATTTGTTAACTATTTATGGAATTTCTTGATCCATTATATGGTGTGTGTGGAGTTTGGTATTTGGTGTCTTTTCCCCTCATTTGTTCCTTTTTCAAGTGAAACTAGTTTATTTTGTGTCAAAATGCTTGTATTCCACTTCCATACGATTTTGTTCTTTGAAGAAAAGGAAGAAATAATGTTGTTTTTGTTCTAGTCTTCTAAATTAGTAAATTTTGATCTCTTGTTCATAGATTAACCTTTTGTAGTAGTAGTAGTCGTCATACACTCATACTACAAGGACTTGCCACAAGTTTGGATTTTCTTACGTGACAATTATGGCCTTCATTCAGCACTAACATGTCATGTTCTCTATTAGGTTATCTCCTGTTACCTGCTTTGGACTGGATTGACTAGGAGTAGAAGTAACTCCTTTCATTTGTTGGGTTTATGAGGCTACAATGCGATCCATCTTGAACCATTCAGTTAATGGATATATTTGCTAATCATTCTACATGTTACTTTATTTCTTTATTTTGCATAATGAAATTCTTCCATGATAAATCCATCCTTGTAGAAATTTAATATTGTATAACAATGGAAAAAATGAACAGAAAGTGGAGAACATGAAGACAAATTGATGAATGGAGGTCATTGTTCATTTTTTTTATCCAATTTATTTGTCCTTTTTTTTTTTTTTTTTGTGATGTTGGTTGCACAACGTGAAGCAACCCTCTCTCGTCTCCTATCCTACCCCACCTACATGCTATGCGACTTGAACTCAGGATCTCTTATTTCCAATGGAAAGAAATTACCACTAAGTTACTTAAGTCATTGGCCAATTTGTTTGATAATGTTTTGAAAGACTAAAATTATCAACTTTAGTCTTATTAAATTTAAATAATGATTAAAAGAAGATTTAATTTAGTGAGAAAAATTCAATTTTAATTACATAGTATTTTAAAAGGACAATGATAGATTCACCCTGTCCTTTTACACACTTTGTTACACCCTTCATTTTTCGTTACTTTCGTTAATTACACCGTTAATCAACTAGCCCTTTCTTTCTCTCCTTTCCTTTTTCCTTCTTGTTGTTCACAGTCTTCACTAGCCAGATCCATCTTCCTCCTCACTTCCATCCTCATCCTAATCAACCAAACAATTTTCTTATCAACCAAACAACACACCATATTATCAAATTTATAAAAATTAATTATCTTCTTCCTCTTTCCTTCCTCTTTTTTTTCTCTCTCCTCCGTCATCCTCCTCCAAGGGAACCCAATATGGGTTCTCTTGGACAACCTAATTTGGGTTCCCATGGACAACCCAGATCGAGTTCTCTTAGAGAACCCAGATTTGGGTTCTCCTTCGAACAAATTGGGGAGGGGGGGGGGAAGAGAAGGAAGAAGAGGGGAGAAGAGGGAGGGAAAGAAGAAAAAGAAAGGAGGAGGACAAAGAAGGAATGTTGAAAATCAAAGAATGTGAAATTGCATATTGGATGAGTTGGATGTGTTTGGGTGTTAACAAAACGGAAAGTAACAAAGTTAGTGTGTCTCATAAAATGTGTAACGGAAGAGTGTGCACCTAGCATTTTCCATTTTAAAATATCCAAATAATGTATTTAACAATACATGAATTTGACATTCATTTTTTTATTCAATCCAAACAATGTATTTTAAAATACATGTATTTAAAATACTCATTCCAAATAAAAATACATGTTCCCAAACACAACATAAGATTATGTTTGGAAATATGTATTTGTATTTGGAATGTGTATTAAAAATACATATATTTGAAATACATGTATTTAAATTACATATATTTTTAAAATACCTTGTTTAAATTGAATAAAAAAATGAATTTCAAATACATGTATTTTTAAATACATTGCTCGGATATATTAAAATACTATGTATTTAAAATTGAATCTTTCCTATCAAATTAAATCTTCTTCTAATCATTATTTAAATTTAATAAGATCAAAGTTAACAATTTTAGTCTTTCAGAACATTATTTAAATTATTTCAAGACAAACAAATTGGATAAAAAAAAAAAAAAGAACAATGGTCTTTACTAATCAATTTATCTTCATGTTTTTCATTTTCTGTTCATTTTTTTCATTGTCATATAATATTTAATTTTTGCAAAGATGGATTTATAATGGAAGAATTTCACTATGAAAAATAAAGGAATAAAATAGCATCTAGAATGATCATCAATTATGTCCATTAACAAGATAGTTGAGGTAATAATTCTTAATTGCAAAATGAAATAGAAATATGACATTCTTTTTTGAAAACTTCGAAGTAAACCATTGAGTTGAGGTTGAAAGTTGGGAAAGAATAGATCCTACATCATCAATAGTAAACTACTCAAATTGACAAGCTAATAAAATCATCAACACTCACTAGATAAGATGATATCTAACCATTCATGTTAGACTGATATTTGTTGTTGAATGATTATTTTTCTAAGGAAAGAACATCCAAAAGAAGGAAACATTATGAAACCAAGTATTCAAAGACCAAAATAAAAGTGAAACCGAGTATGACAAGGAGAAGAACTTACAGCTAGAAAAGCATCCAAAAGTTCCATAGTTGGAGGGTCAATATTCTCCATGTCAGCTGAAAAAGGAGGCAATGACAAATCAACAACAAGACTCTCAAATGAACTATATTCTACAATGATATGAACCATAGAGTTGGACAAGCATTTCCAAATGTCTTATATGTCTGACAGTATGTTCACTACAATTCAAAAACATTTACTTATTAAATCGTGAATTATTACAACCTCCAACTACTTTACTTGAATGCCTGGGCCCACAGTTTCCACCCCCGCTACTACCAGAATCACTCATGTTAGAAGAAGAACGATACCAAACATTTTTCACTTCCCTTTCCTTAATATCCTTTCATCTAACCCTCATTTTATCTTTAACATCCTGTGCATGATCCCATTCAACATCACGGTTACCATTCCGAGCTTGATTGTACTCCTTCGAATTAACAAGCTCCTTCCTTGATACAGCAAATTCTCAATCCCCTAACTCATTATCACAATAACCACCATAGTTCCTAGCCGCCATATAGAAAACCCGAAACTCCAAAAACCCCAACCCGCCAATCATAATACAAAAACCCCAAAAAATCTTTTTTTTTTTTTAAACAAACCCCTAAACCCCAAACAAAACTAGAGTCCCTCTAATAATATTTTTTTAATTTCAAAAAAAATTAAAAAAAAAACTAGGATAAACAATAAGAAACATAAAGATCCACAAAATGGAGCAAGAAATCAATAAAACCACAACAATATAAACTAGATCTTCAAATTCTGAGCTATTCAGCACGAAAATTTGAAGATAGAAGGAGGAACCATAGCAATTAAAACACAAATTGAGGAAGGAAACCCAAACCCTAAATCTTCTTGAAATAGATTGAGTGGGTGATGAGAAGTATATCAATCTTGATGGAAATTGATTGGTGGAGACAACTGATTGAACGGAGCTTATTGATCAAAGGTAAGTAGAAGAAAGGCTGTGAGCACTAATTGCGGTGAGATAAGGCAGAAAATGAGACCTTGAAATCGAAATCGAGTGGTTTGAGTGGCCAATGAGGTCCAAGAGTGACGACAAGTCAATGATGGATGGACGATGAAGGCTTCATAGCCATCGATGAGAAGAGAGAGTGCAGAGGAAATTCATTTTGAAATTAAAATTCATGGGTTTGAGGATGAAATTGAAATACATGATTTTATCCTTCTTAATTACTCGGGTGAAATACATGTATTTCACCTAAATTCAATTACCCTTTTATTAAGTAATAACAAATAGTGATATTGAATTTGAGAGGTTAAAATTCAAATACACTTATACAAATTTATGTTCCCAAACAGACTATTAATGTATTTTGATAAATTAGCATCAACTCACGGTACAAAGCAGTTGTTGAATTAAATTACAAACCATACGAAATAAGTTTAAAACTTGACTTAGCACGCATGCAAATTAAAATGCTTGAAATTGAAACTCCAGGTTTTCAAGGCCTACATAACTTCTGTTTTTACCATAAAACGCTGAAAAGGAGAAGATGGGAGCTATTTGGTGTAATGGTTTAAAATTAATAATTAACAATTAATGAATCATTATCTATTAATTTCAAATTATTATACTAAATAATCCTAAAAGTAATAAAAGACTGCCCGTGCCAAGCCATTAAGGGACCAGGCCTCACTGATAATTCAAGGCCCAACTAGCTTCAGACAATGTTTGGCCTAAAGGTCCAGTGACTCATAACAAGCAAACGACCGTACCTTGGGGCCCTAGGCAGCCCATTATAAATACCGATTCTCTTATGGAAAAAG